AGACTCAGAAGGGCAGTGCACACAGAGAATGTGCTGAGATCAGGATCATGAAAGGTTATAAATCAAAAGTGAAGATTTATTACCAGGCTTATGCCTAGCGTCAGATTCTGGGGAACAAAGACAGAGAAAAAGAAGGGGGTTATGATGTACAGCCACAAAAGGAAGGAAGTGGAAAGGGGACTTTTGTCTCAGGACCATCTGCCTTGGGATCAGATGAACCACAGCAGAAGGGAAGCTGCTATTGGCTGAGACATCAGGAAGGATTTCCAGTCTGGCCCTGCATTTTTGGACTCCGTTCCACACGTGTGACTGGAGTTCACCTACACCAACAGCCCCAGTGGCGGCGAGTGTGGGTAACTGCTGAAGGGAGAGCAAAGAATTCTGGGGTAATTGTGGTACTTCATGTGCTGTGTCCATGAGGGAAGTGACAGGTCAAAGACAGAGGAAGAGGAGCAAGCGCAAAATGGCTCTGCAGGTGCAGCCAAAGGATGCATTCACTGGAGGGCTCCAGCAAAACCCTGAGCATCTTGTCTCCTTATTTTTAATGCTTTTGTGATGCAAATAAAATGCAAAAGGCTGTAGGTTTTAAATATATAACTTGATGAGCTTGGAGATAAGCATATACCTGTGAAACCAGATCCACAAACTGTGCCAATAACATAGTCATAGCCTCCAAAAGCTTTCTCCCACCTGCTTTATTTTCAGAAATAAGAAAGTTTACATAAAGGCTGGGGGTGTAGTTTAGTAGGACAATGGCCGGCTAGCAGTTCTGAAGGCCCAGGTTCAATTCCAAGCACCACAAAAAGCAAGGAAGGAAGAAACATAGGAAGGAGGCAGGGAGGGAGAGAAGGAGGAAAGGAGGGAGGGAAGGAGGGGAGGAGGGAGGGAGGGAGGGAGGAAGGGAGAGAAAACACGGTGAGAAAGAGGGAGGATGTAAGCCAGTTTACATAAGATCAAACCTCTTAGCAAAATGCCATGTATCCAAGACAACGCTGTTGACCCTAGGGACCAGACTACACAGTAGATCTCTAGGACTTACTGGTCTTGCATGACTGAAACTTTGTCCCCTTTGACTGCGACCTCCAACTCCTCCTCCCTGCATGAACTCAGATGAGATTCCAGTAAGTGAAATAATCAGATGGCAAGGAGAAGTGAAATGATCAAATGGCGAGAAGGACATCATGAAAGCACCTCTAGGCTGCACCTAATGTAGTGAAGAGTGAAATGATGGCCGTCTCCATCTCTCTTGCTCTCAGCCACAGATGGGAAAAAGGCCAGGCTTCTAACAGTTCTCTTGGGAGGGCCGCTCGGAGAGGCCAGGCAGCTTATATGGCCTGGTTCCTCTCCATGACTGCCCCACAGCTAGTGGTGAAAAGCCACTCTGTTATCACAGGACAAACACACAGGCAGGCGAAAAACGGAATCTGCCTAAGCAGTGCACACAGGCTCACCCAGGCACTTCCATATCTCACCCAAAGCCAGCAGTGCAGGGAAAGTCAATTCTGGTGCACACCTTTTCAGATCACTATAGAAAGGGTCTTTCGTTTCTTTAATGGAACGTCCCCCAGTGTTCCAGGGGAGTATTTGCCATTATTTCTCAACCTATAATCCCTTTCACTATGATGTCTCAACTGTACCCCCCACCGAATGTTTTTAATTACCTTCTCATTTATCTATTACAAAAGCTATTATGGATAGTTTAAGTGTGTATTCTTACATACTACTCCTCATTCATCTTAAGTTACTTTTTTTTTAAAACAAAATCCATTACAATCAAAGAGTTAGATTTCACCTTTTCCTGTTATATATACTTAACTATCTGAAATGTATACATGTGAAAGTATATGTTCCATGAACAAATAATTCATACTGATATGTCCTGTCTAGTTAGGGGACTGAAAAGCATCAGAACTCCAGACCCAGGTTTTATGAAGTATCGTGGTATGAAAAACTGCCTCCAAGATTTGATGTCTGGGGGCTGGCAATGCGGCTCGGTGGGCTGAGTTCCTGGCACCCACACCAGGGCTAACAGCTGCCTGTAACTACAGTTTCAGGGAAGGTGAGTGACACCCTCTTCTGGCCTCTGTGAGTGGGTACTTCATGCGTGTGGTGCACAGACATATGTGTAGGCAAAACATCTATACACATAAAACATAAATAATATTTTTAAATGCTATAAAGTGTGCTTAATACTTCAAAAATATTAAATATCCAAAAATTCAACTTATGAATTTTAAAAAGCAGCTGCTTTGTTTTGCAACATTTTTATGTTCCCAGACAAAAAAAATGAAAGATATGTTTTCAAACTGTGATTGACAAACATGTTTCTATAGTTACACTAACGAGTAAGTAAGTAGGTTTTAATGCCTGGTATTCTGAAAGAATGGAGGGTCCAGTCAGCCGGAATCATTACTATACTTTTCCTCTGCATTTTGACACTTTAAAGAACTTTTGACAACTAATTACTGAGTGCATTTGGGTTGAATGAACACAGTGGACTATCGTCATGAATAATTAGTTACAGGCAGACTTAGCATTGCATCCTAGCTTTTACCATAGATTGCAGACCCTATATCCCACAGTACAAAGTTGGCCTTTATGGACTGGCCTTGAACTCTAGTTTGCATTGGCTCTGGCCATTATTGACTGGAAGCAAATGGGGATATGTATGTCCCTCTCTGGCAGGATATCTCAGCTGGTGAATCATGTGATCCTCACAGGCTCTGGTCTCTTTGGGTCCCCCGTCAGCAGTCATCTTTGTGACCCCCACCACATCATTTTAAATATTTCCTTTATGTATCAAAGCCTCATCAGACTGGATGACTTGAGTGTGAGTGTCTCCTCTCTTTTCTGACTGCACTCTGCCTTGCTGATAACACAAAATATAAAGGACAATGTAAAACTATGCACAATGGTTCTACACTTGGTAGGCTGGAGTCCAGCTCATGTTAAAGAATTATGCGATTGCACCAAGGGCTCTCTCACAAGATAGCCACTAACAGTTATACATACACAGCCAAATGCACAGTCAAGGCTCAAGAGATAAGCCTCCAAATATTTATTTTATTGTTGAATTAAAAAGTAGAAATTGAAACCATCAATAACTAACATTCCTTTAAAATCCCCAAAGTTTACAAACCACCAAAAAACACACATAAAATTCTATACACATAAAGAAGTTTTCCTAAGTGAAGTACTTATTTTTTAATTCTATTCCAATGAGTAAGTTACAGAATTATGGAACACACACTCACTCCTCTGCTCTCCTCTGAGAGCACTCTGTCTCTGTCTCTTTCTCTCTCTCTCTTGTGTGTGCATGTGTATGTCTCTCTGTCTCTCTGTCTCTGTCTCTGTCTCTGTCTCTGTCTCTGTCTCTCTCTCTCTCTCTCTCTCTCTCTCTCGTGTGTGTGTGTGGGGGGGGGGGGGGGGGTGGGTGTGGGTGTATGTGCCTGTGTATAAGGGAGAGGCTAGGTAGGGTTTAGAATCTAAGAAAGTGTAAGACTGGGTAACAGTGCTAACAGAAGTTACATAAAGCACCTGGACTTGATGTGACTTTGCAATCTCTTCCTCTGTAAATGGAAGCAGAGTCATTAGCTGGCCTCCAGTCTAGGGTAGAAGCTGGGATCCAGTGATGGTTATTTATTATCCAACAAAGAGGCATATATCTAAAAGCACCCATCTCATAACTGCTTGAGTCTAAGAATTTATAGGCAACAGGAATATAAAGGCAGGAGATGAGTATAACAGCACTATTTTTATGGGAACATTGTGTGATGAGCCAGGACATGTCCACTGATACCCGTGGTGTTCAGCAAGCTGTGAGCACTTGTGGATGCTGCTTAAGAGCAAGGGTCAGGGAAGGAGACAAGGCCATAGCATCATAGGGTACAGAGTCCAGCACTTCTCCCTAGCTGACTAAGCCACCATAAAAGGAGGCTACAAAGAAGGTACAATATGGCTGCAGGGAATATTCCTCACAAAAGACAGTGTGTTTATGGCTTCTCATTTAATAAAATGCATCCAACTCTATTATGGCCTGAACTGCTAAGTGGTGTGACGTACAGAGTTCTCCAGGATGGTGTTTTTTCCCAAAGAAAGGAAAGTATTCACCGGGGTGTCACCACAATGACATCCTTGCCTCCAAAACTAGCTACCCTGCCATCAACCTCTTCTTCCACATCCTCTCTCTGTTCTCGAAAATTACATTGTTCTCTGCAAAAGCAGAACTCGCCTTGACTGCCCATCTGCTTCTTATTGACAGCATTCAGTAGAATCCATGCTGAGTGCTACAGTGTTGTTGCCGCAGCAGACCACAGCATCTGTAAAGTCAGCCGTTGTACACTAGGGAAAGCTATGTCTCAAATAAGTCAAGGTCAGCACAAGGGAGAATGTACAGCACCTACGGCATTAGTCACACTGCCCACCACCCTTGCCGCACCTCACTCTTCCAAGCATCCCTGAGTCCTGGGGAGCGGGGGGGTGGTAAACAGAAACACCACTGAAGAAAGCATCTTTTACCAGAGACTGGACAGTGTCTCAAGAAAGCAACACTTTTCTAGCTTCAGACCACATGGTATTCTAGACAGTTCTTCATCATGTTATGCATCATGATATACATGTCCACACTCGTGTATTGGCTCAACCACCCTCTTTTTTAATTTTATTCTTTGATATTTCTGATCAAATGAATAGAATGGGCCAGTAACCTTCATGAAGGACTTTAACAAAATAGGCAAACTTCCTTTTCAAAATTCAATGGGTTCTTGCACCAATGTAGCCATCTCTTGGGGGGGGGGGTCATAATTTCCTTTCATTTAGATTATCATTGATTGTAGAGACATCTAGAAGAACTGAAAAGGAGACCTGGAGAAAGAAGGCCTACCAGGAAAAAAAAAAAGGATTCAGGGGACATCACATTTAGAGACAGGGCTCATCTACCTTGGGAGCTTGCCAAGGCCTGAGGAACCTGCTGCGGTGGCTGTGGGTGGCTGGGCCCTTACCTTACCACACTGCTTACATTTTCCCTCCTGCCGCCGCCTGTGGACCCAGTGGTGACGCACAAAGTTCTGCAAGGAAACAGAGAGAAGTGAGTAAGTGTTCATTTGCAGTCCTCAGCATTCATTGTTGGATGTTTTGGATTATAGATTTCTATACGCTATAATCCAAACCAGGAGAAGCACAGAAGTAAACATGTGTAGATGTGACTTATTCAACAATAAACATGAATACAGTCAGAACAAATGAAGTTCCTTCGCCACTCCCAGCAATCTTCTGCACTGTGCATTCTGCTCAGCACCTCCTCCAGCCTTGCCTTTCCAGTGCCTAGGACACTGCACTTTCTTACTAGAAAAGTCCATGCAGATTTGTGAGTGGGGGGAAGGATCTCCAGCTGGGAGGTAGCTGTGGCTCATAAAAGAAACACTCAAAGAGTGGTGAACAGTCGAAGGGAAGAAGCTAATGGGATTATCTCCAATTGGACTGAACAAGTGCACACGAAATGCTTCATATGGCGGATGTGCCACACCATACTAAACCTTATAGCCACAAGGAATTCCCAAGATCATATTCTCAGACACATCTCCTGATATAGGACACTGATTTGAGACACTGTCACTAGATAAAGTGAAGGAAGAGAAACGTTAAAGAAAAGAGATGTCAAAGACAAGAGGATTGGCATATGGACGACAGCTGTTCATACACCACCCTTAGCCACCTTGAACTAGATCAGCTTTCAAGGTTGATTCTTGTCATAAACTTAGGAAAGTATTTTTCATGCCAAGTAGATGATCATCACCGGGGTAGACTCAAGTAATTCAATCTCCGCTAGCTGTATATAGCAACAAGGAGTGTCATCTACAGCACTAAAGGTAAAGAGGAGCCTTGGTGCACATCATCCCTCTTACACCAACAATATAAAGTGCTTCCTTTCCTCTGACTCCTGTCCTTTCCTGAGGAAACACACGTTGCCTCTTAGAGAATTTAGCCACAAACCAGTCTCCCTTTAACAGTGCCTTTAACGGATGTTGCCAGCAGACTGCCTGTTACATACCATAGGCACTGTTCTATGTGGAGACAGACAAAGAAGGCAGATTGGTCTAGAGCCACACCACCTTGAACATGCCTAATAGAAGAAGCTAAGCAAAGTTGGGACTGGACAATACTTGGATGGGAGAAAATAGACCACTGTGAAGGGAATGAAGGGAGGGAGAGAAGGAGGGAGGTAAAGAGGGAGGGAGGAAAGAATGGAGCAGAAGAAGATGATAAGAGAGATGGGGGAGGGAAGAAGAAGGGGGGAGGAACAGAAGGTTGGTTGGTTGTGTCAAGGCATGAAATTCCAGGCATGAAATGACAAGAAGACCTCCAACAAACATTAGCACTTTTAATACTGAAATATCACCTCTATTGCTCTTTTATGTCAAATCAATTTAAAATAAAGTAAAATATGGTCCCTGGAGGGGTAACGGTCTTTTGATGATAGTAAGATCTGGAAACAGGATAATCCCAAGAACCAGTATGATTTTCATCTTGCTTTTCCTACTGCCCCCATTCAGTAAAACAAAAACACAGTTTCACACTGTTCTCAGAAAGAAGATAATAAGAATAGCTAACCCTAAGCAGTCTTTCACACTTTTAATGATATTTTATATATAGCAATTGTTTTAATCCTCATAAAAATAATAATGGATAGAGATACTTCTCAGTAGGAATGTACCAGAAAAGTTCCAGAGCTGTTAAAATACTGAAATGTCTTAATTTGGGTCATTAAATTGTAGTCTAGTGTCCTCACAACTCCCTGCCTCCTCTTCTGCTGTTATAACAACTGCTGCCACGCCTCCTTTAGCCCTGGAAACCATGCCTACCTCCTCATTAGTAAGCAATTAGAATGCAGTTGCCTGAGTTAGCTAGTATCAGGATCCTCTTCCAGCAAGAGCACCTCAGGTTACCTGAACAATACTAATGGCTTTCCCTGAAGAGGTTCAGAGGACTGGGCTGGCACAGGCAATGTCAGATGCCTGTGTAAGCTTCAACACCCACATGGACAGTGGCTGTCTGTGATTGTCAAAACAGCAACTGCAAGGACATGCAGGCTTCTGGTGTTTATCCCATCAGTTCAATGCAAACCCTACACTAAGTGGGAATAAAGGTCCCGGGCCACCTAGCTGCTCACTTGGCAGGTGACATTGATGCTGAGCCCACAGTCTCTTCTAGAGATCAGTACCTGCTTACAAAGAAAGATTGGGAAGAACAGGAGTCTCTACTAACTTCAGTATGTTCCAACTCACTACTGTAGAGCCCCCATCCCCAAAGATCTGATTTTACTTACATATAGAGAGGTTACTTAAAATGTAAGCATAAAAGCAAAATTCCCACTCTCACTGGCTGGGAGCAGGCTCTCCTCCCACTGGGTCCCCACCTCTCTTCTCTGAAAGATTAGATTCACTACTTCCTCATGACACCCCGATAAACAATTGCAATGACAGTCAGGTGTGGAAATGTTGAATACATAAAAACGTCAAATAATAATTAAAAGGCATAGAAACATTTAATATAATAGCTGTTAGTTTAGCAAAAACTGAAGGAAAATGAACACTGTCACTGATGTTAAGAGAAATTCTGTACTTGGTGAGATTACAAGTCACTCAGTGACTATCAATTTAAGAAGAGAAATGTTGGGAAAATTGGATGCAATTATCTATGAGAAATCACAACTGACTCATGGGATCATTTAGCTAGTGACAGCTCCATTCAAAAGATTAAACCAATAATTCCCACAAGTCAACAGTGACTTAGAAATGAGGTGGCTCACTTGATCATTTGTGCCACAACACAGACCATTTGGCAAGCAGATTTTTTTTTTCAAGACAGTGTTTCTCTGTGTAGTTTCAGTGCCTGTCCTGGATCTGGCTCTGTAGACCAGACTGGCCTCAAACTCACAGAGATTCACCTGGCTCTGCCTCCCGAGTGCTGGGACTAAAGGAGTGTGCAACCACCATCTGGTTGGCGAGCAGCTTTATGGCATCCCAAAGTTCAGTCCATTTATGATATAAAAAACCCAACTTGCCGGGCGTGGTGGCGCACGCCTTTAATCCCAGCACTTGGGAGGCAGAGGCAGGCGGATCTTTGTGAGTTCGAGGCCAGCCTGGGCTACCAAGTGAGCTCCAGGAAAGGCGCAAAGCTACACAGAGAAACCCTGTCTCGTAAAAACCAAAAAAAAAAAAAAAAAACAAAAAAAAACCCCAACTTTATGGAAAATGTTTATATGAACTTAGGTGACTCTACCATTCAATATTATTAAGATTACCCTTCCAAAGAGTACAGTACAGAGGAAACTGAAGACATGAAGGCCCAGATAAAGTAAATGATTAAACTTATCCACACTGCTATTGCAGGAGAAGCTGACAATGTTCCTGAAATCTTTAGCTGTATAATTTGAGATGTCACACAACCTTGTGCTTAGAGTTCTTCTTAGGCCTAATACAAATTTATTCTGCAACTTAAGCATCATTGAAACTAAGTAAATAGTCAATAAATGTTTATTGAGTTGAATAGAATCCTAAACCTTATTTATTTGACAATTAAACCAGGTGGTTACCACTTGGGAGAAGGAGGACCATCAGCTGTCTTCATCAGTAAGGAAAGGAAAGCCATCAGCATCAAATCACTACTGTTTTCTAACCCTTTTTGCTCAGGGGCCCTCAATTTTCATACCATTTTCTTCTGACTGTTATTCATATCTCCTAAATTATTAGACCAAAATCAGATTCTTCATACATTTTTCTTTAGATAATTATCCAGAGCTCCTGAGTTGTTGGGCTGAAATGAGATTTCTCACACTGTGTCCTTTTGAGTGTAATTCATATATCTTACATTGGTGGACTGGTATTAGATTTGAGATCCTTACACTGCATATGTGACTGTCAATAGATTGTTGTTAAGAAGGCAACGAAAGTTTCTAAAACAATATCACAGTTTCTGAATTATTTACATACCACTTCAAGCACTGGCCAGAGAAAAAGATATTACTTATAGGTGTTAAAACATCAGTGATACATTATTTCAAGGCTCATAAGAAAAGCATAATATAATTGTTTAGTTACTTTCAAATGCCTAATTCAATTCAAGAGATTATTCACTGAATACTTGAAAAAATTCTTAGAAATCATAATCCAATCCATAGATCATGAGTAAGAAACCTGACCTCACAAAAGCACAACATAGAAGGGGTCCACAAATACTTTTTAAAAAACTGCCTTAGAAAAGTAGGACTTGGTAACCAGCATCTTGAGTCTCCAGACTCTCACCAATTAGTAGGAAAATAGTGGCGGTGGATTTGAGCCAAGGTCAAACTAATTCTAACAGGAATACTCCTTCATTTACATTGAATGATCGACTTAAAGTCCCTTCATTAAGAGACTTGAGTGAGTCATGGTCACAAGTTTCATCTTCAGAAGCCCTTCATCAACCAAGAGTTCTAATTAATTTTGCAAAGAAATGGATCTTCTTACAAATCCATCCAGGCAGCACATACTCATTGATTTTGGTCCATCTATGTCCTGGCACAATTATTTTGGGACAAATTCCATGCATAATCCTTAAGGTTTACACTAATGGAGAGAGATACTCTCAGACAAGCCAATGACAATGAGCATAAATAATTATGACATACAGCATGACCTGAATGAACAGGACAAGGTATTTAGCAAAAAAGGAATAAGCTCTCTTTTCACAGGGGTCAACAAAGAAGAGCACCACAATGGGCTAATGGGTTACACCAAAATATTCATATGTCGACATTCTAAACCCATAATCATGGCCAGGAAAGGAGACCTTTGTAACCTACTTGGGTCATGGAGAATGGAGCCCTTATCAATAGGGTTAGTGCCTTATAAAAAGAACCCAGGGACCCTTTGCTTTCTTTCTTCCATGCAAGGACACAAAAAGGCAGTAGTCTGATACCTGCAAGAGTGTTTTCACCAGCACCACACCATGCTGGCACTCTGATCTTGGACTCTCCAGCCACTAAAGCTGTTAAAAAAAAAAAAAAAAAAACCAAAAAACAGCCTCATTGCTGATAATGAAATGGTCAATGGTATTTGGTTATAGCAGCCAGGACTGACTAGGACAACCTCTGAGGATATGATGTTTGAGCTGAAAATATAAGAAGCTAAAAGATCTGAAATATTGCCATGGAAGACAGAAGTATCCAAGAGTGGGGAATACCTTGTCACATGCCTCTGGAACTTAGAGAATGTCCCTTTGGCAGCTGGAAAGGGCTGAGATATATGCAAAGTCAGATTACACAGGTCTTTCAAAAAAAGAAACCAGTGGGAAATGTCCCGGTCTGACTGTTAGTAAAAAAAAAAAAAAAATGACCATGTTCCTTAAATCATGGGTACATTGGAGGAAGTAACTGGAAAATCATGGAAAAGCTACTGCAGTGCCTAGGATGGGAAACATCCATACCTTAGCCGAAGTTGCTAATAGCAGACATGCAGGGAAATGGATGGATTTGAAATACATTTATAAATAAAACTGACTGAGCTAACAAATGAATTTGAGGTTAAGAGTTCTAGAGAGTAAGAATCAATATGACACTCCCCCAGTGTCTACAATTGAACAGCTCACTTTGTAGGGTAAAAATAGATTGGGAAAAAAGTTCCATGGTCACGATAATAGTTTGGGTTTTGATCTATTGTATTTCAGATGACCGTGACATATTCAATGGACATGTGAAATGGAATTTCAAGAATGTAAACTGGAAAAAATGTAAAGGCAGCTGTCAGCTATCCTAAGGACAGCTATCCTAAGGACAGGATGGAGGCTAGAGAGAATACAGATAAACCCAGGGGGCCCTGCAGAGATGCAGAGGCTGGGGGAGGGGCACTGAAAGCAGACAGAGATGGCCAAGGAAGGGGAAGAGTCCCAAAGAGATGGAAGGGTGCTGCTGGGAGTCAAGAAGAATGGACTGTGTGAATGTTCTGAGTATTTTTGAGAGAAAAATACCTACTGGATTTTCTATGATCATTAGCAACAGTGACAGACAGTTTCAGAAAATAGCCTGAGTAAACTAGACAAGAGCAGGTTAATGTGCTAGAAGATGACATACTAAACATAATCCATCCAGATAACAGTTTCTGGAAACTTATCCATGAACACAGAACTGAAGATCAGAGCAGCCGCTAAGACACAGTTGGTAGGTGAGGAATGCTAGTGCTTTTCTTTTTAAATTTCAGTTGGAAACTGTTACAACACACATTTGCTGCTGGAAATGCTCTAGACGGGGCAGGTAGGGGTCGAAAGGCAGGAAAGGACGAGAGATCAAGTCCTTGACAAGACTTTCAGAGGAGGTCCAGTTTTAGAGCAAAGGAGTATTATAGCCAATGAAAACCATTTTTTGAGACTGGCAACAGAGACATTTTACACACAGTTATAACTGAGAGAGAGGCAGAAAGAAGGCAGAGAACCAATGGTAGACATAAATATCCCTTGGTTGGAAATTCAGTACCTCCAACTTAAGAACACAAAAACGCCCCTGCAACCTTCATAAGGAAGACATCTCCATTTGAGCTGTCACTGAGCGGCCTTTCAGCCACCACTGCAGCCCATCAGGACAGCACCAAAGGCAGAACGACAGCACCATGTCTCTACACGTCCCTCACCCCGTGTTGCCACACTGGACAAACCGCAGGAAAAACCAACTCATGGAAGGGTTCAATTCTCCTCTCCCATCACTACCACCTCCAGCCTCCCACCTCCCCTCTCACCCTGCTGTCTCTCAATCCTCTTGTTTTCATTATAATAAAACATTATTCTTCTTTTTACCATTTTCTTGTTTTTGAGACATCATCTCACATATTGTCCAGACTAACCTCAAACCCCTAGACTCAAGGAATCCTCCTACCTCAGCCTCCTGGATGTCTGACGTCACATGTGTTCCTCACCTTGTCTGGCCTATACAATGTCTTTCTTTCTTCACTGTGTTTCAGATGGTTGTGAACTCCTCTTTGCTCACACAGGTTCTACCCCTGCTCTATGCATTTTTCTAGTCTCACAGTACAAGTAAGTCTCTGTATGTGGTGGCCACTCACAGATAGCTTATTGTTCTTCTTTACAAAACACACTCATACGGGTATGTACTGGGCAAATGCATCTGGGGGCAAAGTGGACACCTCAGTCCTGATGCTTCTGTAAGTAAAGCCATCAGATGTCCAGTGCATTCTCAGATCAGCCTCATCCTCAGGTCATCTTCTTCCAAAACCTAGTCAGTTTTGCTCAACCAAAGCCTGCCTTATTCTAGGGACCACTGCCTTCACATCCCAAAGCCATCCTCTACTAAATCCTGCCAATCTGTGTCTTTAAACTCATCTCCCTGTAGCATGTTTCTCTTAGCTCAGACACAATCATTTCTTAACCCGTCTATGGCAAGAGCTGATCAGATTGTCTCCATGCCCCCAATAGAATCAGCCCTGAACTACAGGATGTTCCCTCCACATGGCAGTCAGCATAATATAGTCTGCTTAAATAGAGTAATACCCGTTTCCAAATCCCTGATGACTTCTAGCCTGGCTTCCAGAGACTGCCATTGTCTACCTCGTATTCATCTCCCAAGTCATGCATGTTACTAACATCTCTCATCTATGCCTGTGTGCTGCTGTGGTTTCTGTCTAGAAGGCTGTCACTTTGTATCTATCACATCTCACCCCTTGCCCTAGATAGCTCCTGAAAGAATCAGCCAGTGCCTGCGCCTTCCAGGAAGCCCTTCATCTGACCAATTTGCCCTTCCTCTCTATTACACAGGGCTTATTTGAGGAATACATTGGCTGGGAAGGTTTCCAAGGGGTAAATCTCTAAGTGGATCTGAAACTGTAAATAAAATGGAGAAATCACACTTACCAAGAATTCTTATTCTTAAAGAGAAAACATAAGCCTCTGGTGCTTGGGGGACAGTGGACAGCACCAGAGCATACCACACTGCCTTCTAAGGAGGATGGGTTGTGTAAGTTGAAAGCTTTTGTTTTGTGGATTAGAAAGTACAATTTGGAGCTGGGTTCTAGACTGTCTAGAATAACACACACACACACACACACACACACACACACACACACACACACACACACACACTCCTCTCGCTTTCTCTGAATTGTGGTAGCTGTCTTCTCCACACAAAAGCAGTAAAAGCAGCCCTATCTCCATGCTGCTTCCTCCCCTCACACTCCTATAATCAAACAAACTGCTCTCCATCCCAGTCTATCCTCACAGTGACCTGACTATAAGGAGATGTTCTGAGCACTGAACCTAACTTCCTCCTATGATGACTGTGTGTATTGCTTCACAGGTCAAGGGAGCAGCGGAAGCAGAACTGGCAAGCTGCCCTGGGTCACACAGCATTAAGGCTGGCTCTGGAAACAGCAGCCCGACTCCAGCATGCACACGGGAGACCCGTGACTGCTGTGCCTCACCCCCAGAATAGCTTAGACCCACCCCAAAAGAAAAATTGGCCATAAGACAAGGACAGGATTTTGTTTCCTTACCCCTTGAGTTCTACCATTCCCCCATCCCCACTTTTCTGTCCCATTCATTAAGACCTTGGCTCCTGAGCACACGCCAGTGGCAGGATGAAGTGCAATGTGCTGGAGAGACTTGGAGAGTCCTTGTACTTATTGGTGTATCAGGAAGAAACTGCTGTTTATAATGAAGGAAGAAAGAACTCATTTGTCAACCTCGGGTGAATCCCTGGGGGTTCGCTGTACCCATGAGAGTTCAAGGTGGTGTTTGAAACAACTCACAAAACTCACTTCTCTTGGTGATCTGGAGCCTCCTTCCCGAAATGTTGGTTTACATCTGAAATTAATCTGTCATTTGAAAGGAAAAGCACGTTATGTTACTGATAAGCGTCAGGTTGAACAGAATTACAAAAACAAGCAATAGCGGTAGACATCGAGACTATAAAACAAAACCCACAGGGAATAAGCAATCTATTTTAGTCTATTCCTCGTCTCCTGAAAGCATCTCCCTGGATAATCCACAATGGTGCGGAGTGATTTCACACCTCCAGCCAGCGTTCCTGTGTTCTCATTGATGAACTCTAACTTTGAACAAAAATGCTCTTAGTCCATGAATTTAAGAGCTCAGAGCCAAAGGTAAAGCATGCGGCTGCTGAACCCATCGGTTGCATTAGATTTTTTAAAAGTGGAAAAATGTAAACCTGAGAAGTCCTAACGGCTGTGATAACTATTCAGCACGTGCATAGATGTTCCCTGTCAAGGACTCAGAACTGCCTTGCTTTCTGGAGAGGAGATGTCCTTGTGGTCACTTTTGCTCCTGTATAAAGTACAACAGAGTGGAGACGAGAGAGGATGTATTCAAAGTGTCAGGCATGGCTGTAAGATTGGCAGCAGCTGGTGGTGCTGGCGAAGCTAAGCAAACACTGCATGAGGCTAAAATGGCCCCACTGTGCTTGTGAAGGGTAGCAGGAGAATGCAGATACCACAAAGGGTCTTGCCTGGACACAGAGTAAGAATTATAAATGAGAGCAGCAGGCAACTCTCTATTAGAGATCTTCCTGTCCCCTAGTTGATAAATAAACAGACCATTCAGAATCCACTTCTGAAGACAAGACACCACCCTTGGGATGCCACTTCCAGCTCAGCCCCACATTTATGCTGCACCAGCAAAAAACGCTGCCCATGAGGTCTGCAGTGGAGTCTGAGAGCTGCTTTAAGCTGTCTTGGCTCTCTCCCTTAGAGCTACTTTAGGAATATGGGAACTCACAAAGAGAAACATATGGAAGCTACGATATTAAAAAGCTCATTGCATCTTTTTTTTTCCTTAAAGGAAACATCTTGTGGAAGTAGAGACAGAAAGAGAACTGTTGTGTGCTAGGCTTTCCCAAAAGTCAACACAACATAATATCAAATTAAACTAAGGAAGACAACAGGATGAATGACCTTTATATTTTTTCTTTTCATCGTTACTCTGGTAGTCATATTAAACTCACAGTTTTCATTTTTGTTTTTGTTTTTTAAGGCCATTGTTTTCAAAAAATTAGAAATTGACACCCGATCTTGGCAAGTACAGTGAATCCATTCCTCAGCAGGTGGCGCTCTCTTACCTTCTCTAGTTGCTCAATGCAGGCAGCGTGGACCACAATTTTGCAGACTGCACACTTCCTCCTGACAGCAGATTTCTACAACATTCAATTCAAAATACAGGAAAGATATGTTAGCACGCTATTCTGGACACTTCTCTGGTAAGAGAGACTCCAGAAATCAGGCAAAATTGTAATTACTTGTTACTAAGCACATTGAAAATCCCTAAACATGTCAGGGTAGCTACCTACCCACATACCAATGACCTAGATGGCTTCTTCCAAATATGACGTCAATACTACCCTCTACTACTAGGGCTTGTAACATAAATCAAGCTTTTTATTCTGTTACATCAGTTTTAAGTGTTACAGCTGAACAACAAAAGCATTGTCCTTAAGTTTTCTAACTTTTTCACACTTTCTTTTACATTTCATTTGCACTGATGAGGGACAGAGGCAACCTTCTTAACTTCTGTCTTATGTACGAATCAAGCATTCCAACCTTACTCTCCAAGGCTATATCTCAATGACTGGCCATGTTACACTTCCGTTCTAGGTACAAATCTAAACTGTGCTATTTGGGTTTCTACCCATATCGTCAGGAAGGAGATTACAAGTCTGGATTCACACCCAGGAAACAACAACAGCACAAACAGGAACAGCAATAATAAATAGCAACAAGGACAGCAGGAGCCGCTAGTAAGATTACTAAGGTCTTGCTCTGTCCTCATGGCACTTCACAGATGGTAATTCACTTAACTTTTACAGTCCTATGAAGTAGAGACAGCCCTATCCCTGCTTCACAGATGAGAGAACCCACACACAGTGAGTGACTTGTCCAAGGCCTGCCAATTGGGGCACAGCACACCCAATCTGTCTGGCTCCTAAGCATCATAAAGTGTGGCCCTGATAATCTTGGATGCATGTGTAAATTCACAGTGCAAAGCTTTCTGTGGTCTAGCTCAAGTCTCCAACAATTAAAAACCCAAATGTGGTAGAATTAGAGAGAGGACTAAGTGGACTCCCGATGTCATCCATGCCAGCATCATCTAGGGACACCACTAGGGGTGTGCAGAGCCCTCTACACAGACACGCCTGAAGAAGAGCTGCCTTGATAACTCTGGTGGTAATAACCAACGTGACAGGAAATGCATTGTGCTACATGTAATGATCTTAGACACACTAAGTACTGTACATATTTACTTTCCCCAACAGATCATCTTTAAATTAGTGTTTCCTTCCCTAAGATGATGAACTGGAGTCAAGTAATTAACACATCATTTGGTGGGTTAGTTGTTTTTATTGTTCATGTTAAGACACAGTTGCTTTTGAACCTAGTTTTATATATATATATATATATATATATATATATATATATATATATATATATAATTTTAAAAAACTATTACCTGAGACATCAAACACATTTTGAGCACAGAACCTCACAATAACAAGAGACTACCAAAGAACCCAGGTGGGAAAGGCTGGGAGTCCCTGTACATTTGGAAAGTATCAACATAGACTGCTGGTGACCTGTGTCTGGTGAGTAACTTGCTGAGGAAGGACAGCGGAGCCCAGTGGAGCAGGAAGGTGAGGGATACACATAACACTGCTGCTGTGGAGAAAGGGCCCAGGAGGGATGGACTACAGACAGCCCTGGGGATGCTGGGGGAGGCAGAAGGAAAGAAATGATCACCCTTTGTGTCCCATTATTCCTCTATAGTCACATCAGTCAACAATGCTGGACATCAGCCTCTGTGAACAGGAGTGGTAACTGTCACCAGCTACCACCGTAGTGCACAAAACAGTGCAACAATAACACTGGTAGCTGTGTTTGTGGACTGTAAACGTGTGACCCCTCTCTTGGCTTTGATCCTCCTAATATGATATAGAACAATAAGTATGTTTGGCAATTAACTGACTTTTCAAACAACAAAGGATTAAGGGAAACCAAGACACCTAAGGATGCTGTTCAAAGTGTCTTGTTCTACAACCAAAAACAGAAGGAGGAATAGGGAGGAAGAGGAGGAAGAGGAGGAGGAATACACACACACACACACACACACACAGCCATGCGAGGAAGAGTATGAAACAGTAGGAGCATCAACCGTAGCAATGGTAGTAGTCACAAAAACAGCAGCAGCAGTAATAAAATTTGATTGCAAATTTTCATAACTAGAATGCTCATAAACAAATGACCACTGCTCCCTCTTTCCTATGGATAGCCTGGTCAGATCTCTGCATGAGCACCACCTGCAGAAAATGCACGTGATACCTGAGTCAAGAAGCCAAGGAAACCGGAGCTGATACTTGTCCATGCCCACCCCAATCCCTAACAGATTACACCACACATGTGCCAGGTAATGCTACTCAAAATGGGCTAATACTTATGGACTTATGATATCATACAGCCTGGAAAGCATCCTCCCTATCAATGACTCCTAACTCCTTCTGCCACTGTGCCCTACTGCTCTCTTTATTTAGTCCATAGAGCACCAGGAATTCTAAGAAGCCACCATATCTTAGAGGAATTAGCAGACTCCTAGGCCACTGGGGTTGGACTCCTTCCTCATCATCCACTTTGGACACCGGAAACATCACAACCATCTCTCTTTAGCTTCGATGTTTGGAATAGAGACTACATCCTCTTCTCTCTACATACTACATAGTCTTGTATCCTCTCTTAAGTGTTATTCCACCTGGGCCCGCCAATCACCTAGCTGTGAGTCCACCTCCCAGGAAAACAGATTCATCTGAATGCACGCTAAGGAGATGGGAGGAATAATTATCCCTTTAATGAGATAATGTACTTCTCAGAAGCCTCTCCTCTGATACAGCTACTTATTACATGGCACACTACTAAGCCGGTGCACTTTCCTGAGTTCCAAAACTGTAGCTTTTTCTTTACTTTCTGTCTTTTTCAGATCCTGTCCAGAAACATAAATGTGCTTTCCCTAATGCTCTGGGTTTTCTTTTTCTAAAGTCACTCACTCCTTCCACCATGCAGCTGCTTGCTGACCTCCACTGCAAAACAGGCTGGTTTTTTCTCTTCCTAGTCTCCATTTTCCTCACCCAGGCAGTTGCCAAGGTTTAGAGTTTGCTTGTCCTATTGTTTTTCACACCAATTCTAATAAAATTGTCCTCTAGTTTTCTTCCAATTACATTTCTGAACTTCTTTTTATTAATGAGACTAATACAATACCCATACAAAGAAACCCTGATTTCTCTAGCAATATGTGGAGGGTAGGAAGGAGAACACGGGCTAGACTCAAGAAGTCATGTGTACTCACTGAAACCAGAATGCACACCCGCTTCTTTTCTCGCTTTTCATGTCACAATGCTGAATCAACATCATTTTTAGAGCAAGGGATCCTGGTTTATGTTGGGAGGCCCTGCTGCTCAGAGGTTGCAGTCTACCATGGCCTGGCAACTCTCTCCAAGCTAGGCAACATGGGGGAATCTCTCCAGGTGGAGGGCTTCCTGCTCTCTATCTGACCTTATGTGGAGAATGTCTATAGGCCCAGATGTCTGGTTTATCTCTAGTGTGACCCTTGACACAGTTCCCTACAGACGCTGTCCCCCTGCTGCCCATATGGTAATTAGACATTGGCGAGGAGCTTTACGATAGGACTGTGCTTCCGCGTATGATAACTGAGACTTGTACTAGGAGCTTTCCGACAGGAGGGTGCTGTTTAATGCAAACTGGATGATGCCTCAGCCACAGTCCCCAACCTTTCTGTCTCCCCTCACTCTGGAGTAAAGCTGAGCTGTCTCCCAGAAAGGTTTTGCCACCCTGTTCACAGGCCATACAGAGCTCTGTCTCCACTTCTGCTCCTCTGTCCTCTCACACAGGTGGCCAACGGACCGCAATGAAAAAGGGGACCCCACAGTTTACAAGAGCGTAGGAACCACAGGGTTAATGTTTATCCTCACTCAGCTTTCTGGGTTATGTAAATACACTAACATTATTCATTTCTCAATTAATTCAAGCATGAAAGTCCATGGAAGACAACCCATAAAATAAAGTGCTCTAAGTCCTAAGGCTAATTTCATTTAAATAATACAGAATATTTAAAGACCTTCTTAAAATACATGACATGCTTCTGGGTCTTTTGATGGAGAATACCCAAGCCATGATCTGAACTCCCATTCATGAGAACAGCATAATGCGTCGTACAGCAAAAATCAGCCCATTTGCCTTATCCTCTGACCAGAGCTCCCTGCAAACCGACCACTGCTCCTGTTGCAGCCAGCTTCCTAAGTGACAACCTCTAAACAGCCGTAAAGTGGAGTAGTTCATCTTTCCAGCCCTGGCGGTTGCTCCTCCCTATCATCTTGATGGGATGTAGAACAAACCTGGGAGATGCACCATGGGGTGTGTCTGTGAGGATGTTTACAGAAAGGACAGTAGGAGGCAAAAGCAGAGGTGACTGCCCGACTGCCTGCACCTTCTTCTTCCTGAATGCATGTGTTCTGAGCTGCTACCACCAACCACTTTTAAATTCAGATTCCAGCTTCTTTGACCTTCTTGTGTAGACAGCACCAGTGACTCTCCAGGGAGCTTCTAGGTCTCTGCACTGTGGACTGTGCAGCCACTGAGAACAGCATCCAGGCAACCAGTGTCAGACTACCCTACCCCCTATCATGTGAGCCACTCTAATAAGTCTCCTTCCGTAACACATATGTAAGAGAGAAGACAAGAATATGTAGTGTACACACACGCACACCCACACATGTTCTATTGGTTCTGTTCCTTTAGAGAACCTTGCCTGATATAATAATCAAATATGAAACCAAGTCAGTAAGTTCTCAATCACAGTCCAAGGTCTTTACCACTTTTTCCACAGTGGTAAAGAACACGGTTTTATTTCCTCCACTGGTAGAAGCTGTTTCAGTGAATCCAACATGTTGACTGCCTACTTCATGGTTTATGTGTTAGACTTTCCCAGGCAAATATCTGAGAGAAATAGTTTAAAGGAGGAAAATTTTATTTTGGTTCATGGCTTCAGAGCTTGCATTCCATGGTCCCACGGAGAGCTTTTGCTGAGGCAATGCATCATGGCAGGGAGGTTTGCTGAGACACAGCTGCTCACTTCACA